ACAGAACCGGCATTACTATCAAAAATGCGCATGACAATCGCATTCGATTAATCGTGTAGCCCTAGCACTAATTATTATTAATAATCAGCCATCATTTTTATGCTTTTGTAGTATGGAAATGAGCATTGTAAGCATTCTACATGATACCTAATTCCATATTCTACAGAATAAAGTAGAATGACATAAATGTGAGCATATGCCAACAGTAATTCCTTTAAAAATGTGTTTCCCAGAGTTTCTGTAACTTGCGTGCAGCCCATTGTGGTTCTGGAGCTGAGCATGGGGAAAGTTCTGAATGCACAGGATGCATTACATGAGTCATCAGCGTTAGGTCTCTTAAGCAGATTTGGAGTCATTCCCCTCACTGATGCACTGAGATGTCAGCAGAGAAGTCCTAATAGAGTCTTAATCAGGGGTATCGGGAACTCAAAACTAGTTATGGCGTGAGAGGAATTTTAAGCTACATCTTAGCGTTGCGGCTCACAATGCAAAGACAGAGAATGTTATCAGAGCTGAGAGAGTAAAGCGGCTGTCATATGTGCATGTCATGACCTCCGTGCAGAGAGTTCTGAATGCATTACACAAGTTATTATTGCCTGTAAGCACATTTGGAGTCACTATGTCTCGCGGGAGACCCGAAGCATCCTGCCTTTTTTTATGTTATAGGGAAAGTCTACAACCGAGTGTGATTTTTGTATTTGATATGTAAGTATGACATGATATTTTTATATTTTGCCATAGAATATGTTTCTGTTGCAAACATAGCTGTTGACTGTGGAGAGCAATGCATTGTGATGTCCTCAGATATTTGCACTTTATGACCATGTTGACTTGATCTACATCATGAAATTTGAACTGGTATTTTGTACGTCTCGACAAAACTGGGCTTTCAAAATCTGCTTTTGATTTTGTCTTTCATTCCACTGCCATTCCAGTCAAACATATTTTGAATACATTTCAAGCTTTTCATGGACATTTAGAGACATCCTTTAAAGAGATAGTTCACCCAAATATGAGATTTCTGTCATTTACTCACCCTCAAACCCGTAAGACTTTTATTTATATTCAGAACACAGATGAAGATGTTTTTTTAATATGCTCTCCTCATTTTTGACCAGTGAGATTCAGGGCTGTCAAAATGACTGAAAAACTAAATTCGAATTTTCTTCTTAAATATTATCAAAATTTGAATTATATTCGAATTTAAAAGGCATAATTTCAGTTAGGGGGGAATAAAGCTTTTGGCTTCTCTCCGGAGGCCACAGGAGGGCGCATTGAACAAAATATTAAGCACGTTTCTTCAAAGCGTAATAAAATAACACGACTATCTTTGAAAAAAAGTGCATAATGTTTCAAATAATGTTTATAAACCATATATAATTAATAAAGCTGCTTAAACAATTAGAAAAAAAACAGCACCATGCATGTATGTATAGTTTAATACAAAGGACCGAAAACCAATCACAAAGAGTAGGCTACTTTCTTCATTTAAAAACATGAGATACAGTGGGATGGGGGAAAACCGCCATAACGTCTTTAGACATGTTTTTTAAAAGTTGAACTTGCATTAATTTTACATGGCTTTCTAAACATGCCGCTCTCTGCGAGACGCGAGTGCAACGCTGATAGATGTCCCTCTAGAAAATGCGATAAATATGCGTTCTGTGTGAACGGCTTGGTTTCAGTTTTGACATAAACAACATCTTCTCCACACTGATGCTCTCGTTTTCCGCAATATATGAATGAACAACGTAGCAGCGTGTCTAGTGGGTTCAACTGGATAGGTTAACAAAAGAATTCAAATGCAATCAATGACACATACATCGTCATCGCATCTCGTGCGCCACTGATAAGGCTGCCTGACGGCTGACGCAGACCTTAAATTCGAATGCAACGTTTTTGCATTCGAATGTTTTTTTTTTTGTTTTTTTTTAATTCGACGAATATTCGAAATTCAAAAAAAAAAATTGACAGCCCTAATGAGATTTGTTCAGCACGGTTGAGCTTCTGTTTACCATATTTGTTGAGTTTTTTTGTTGATTGATGTTTATGTGAATAAAAGCTTAAATAAATCTGTTCATCATATAAAGAAATAATTTTTCTTAAGAGTATGGGATATTTTACAATGTTTTTTCATATAGTGTGAAAATTTTGGTTGAGTGTGTTTTTACGGGCAAAAATAATGATAAAATTATCAGATATTACTTCACTAGGCAAGGTTAATTAAGTAAAATGTCATGTGGTGAGTTCTCAACTTTTTACGATAATTGTTTAAAAAAGTAGTACCTTTTACCTTGAAAATATATATTTAAATATATAACTCAATATTTAAAAATATATTTAATAATAATTAAGAAAACTCGCATGTATTCAAGATGTAAGAATAACATTTTATTACTTTTAACTGGTTGGCAACACCACATGACATTTTTACTAATTAAATTTAATTTTTTATTTTTACTTGTTTTTTTTGAAAACCGTATGAAGTCAAAGTGAGTACAAAATAATGTCTCTTGGAACTTAACCTAGATTTATTAAAAAAAAAAAAAAAACTTTTTTTTTTTTTTTGTGGCCAAATTTAGTTTCTAAAAAACATTTAATAGATGAAAGGCAGAAAATGCACTGCATTTCAGTCCCTCACATTTGTTCCAGAGGAGTTTAGGAAGCCTAACACAACAGCTGAACCGTGAATGATTTCAGCTGGCTCTTCTGAACAACAGCATCCAACCCTGTGCTCATGGCAGTGGGCCACCCTAGTACAGTGGCCGGTTATGCTGTCTAAGCCAGATTTTGTCAAGGAAAAACTGTCAAGGTCTAGAGGCTTTGACCTTGAAGCACAGTTCACTGGATGTTTGACTTCAGCCTAGTCATTCAGATGAGTTTATGAGGCCTTCGAGCTTTATCTCAACGCTGTTAAACCATTACATCACTGACTCAGTCAGGCTGTCACCTTTCACTCGCTAAAAGACTGAAAGGAACATTTTTGAGGTTCCAACGAACTAACACACACCCACACACACATGCATGCACGCACTGTAGACTTCATGCAAATGCAGACACAAATGTTTGGCCAAACTCAAACTTCTTATTCAAGTAACTATTTATGAACAGGTCAACAGTCAAACTAACTGTTAACTTCCAAGATTCTCAAGATATTCTTCTGGATAGATGAGTAAACAATTATT